CAGCGCTGCAGCGGGCACAGCGGGAAGCCCTGGAGCGGGAGGCCACACGCGGCGCCGAGCAGGCACGGCAGCAGGAGCTGATCCGCGACATGAAGGCGCGACTGCTGGAGTTGTTGCGGTGAGAGCCCCGGAGACGCCACGCAAGGGCAGAGGGGCCCAAACCCCTTTGCCCAGAGGAGGGCACCAGAGCCCAGGCAAATCCAGGGCTGACCCGTCCCCTCCCGCAGGGAGAAGGATGCCCTGTGGCAGAAGACAGAGGGCATCGACACCCCGATGCCTAGCCCAGCGCCCCGCGACGCAGGGCTGTGCTCCCGCTGCCACAAGGATTTCCGTCTCCTCTCCCGGCGGTACAGCTGCAGGTGGGCTATGGGGATCCCGGGGTGGCACCAGCACAGCACCAGGACGGTGCAGGTCTTACCACCTGCTCTCTTGGCAGGCTGTGCCAGGGCAAGGTGTGCCACGCGTGCTCCGTGGACATGGGCAAGCAGGGACGCTGCTGCCTAATTTGCTACCAGCAAAGGCACCCACAGGCTCCATGAGCAGGGGCTGCAGCCCTGGCACTGTACCTGGGACACCTCCTGGCCTGGCTGCCTCCTCTTGGACTTACTGTGGACCCAGGTGTCTGGGGCCTGCATGCAGGTCCTACTGCCCAATATTTTGGGTTTGAGATATGTCTTTCTTGTGGCTGGTCCACAGAGAGGGAAAAAAACCACATTTCTGCTACCCCTGTCGCTTCGTGTTGTCTATCAATCGCTGTCAGATCGACAACCAGGCTGTCTGTGGGGTGGAGGAATGCTGGTATGGGGGTGTTCAAGTCCTCCTGGGTGGAGACTCTTCCCATAAGGGGTGTCTCAGCTGCAGCCAGGCTGAACCACTGCCTGCCCCATCCTGCCAGAGGGAGGGGAGACAGCTCTTAGCCAACAGCCACAGCTTCCTACCATGCTGCGAGAAACCACTTGGGCAAGAGGTTTCCCAGATGTAAAGGTGATGGACTGTCCTTGCTCAGCACCCCCACTGTCCCTGCTCAGCCCCAAGTCCCCAGGGTTCCTGCCTGGGTGCCAGGAAACCCTATACCTACCCATGAGCCAGTACATGGATGACACCCACTGAATGCCCGCATGGTTAAGGACCCTCAGGAAGCTGGATCAGGAGCAATGGAGGAGCAGAATGGGAGCCCTGTGGAGATGCTTAGGAGCACTGGGCCAGGCATCCAATGCCTGGCACACAGGGCGACAGTAGTGTCCCCAGCAGGGTCACAGCCCCCTCTCCAGCTCCTCTACCCCAGAAAATGTCAACCCCAGTTGCCCAAGCCAGGGCTGAAACATCCCTGTTGTGTAAGGGACAGGTTCCCAGCCCTTTGCACAACGTCGTGGCACCACAGTCTCAGGGGGGCAGGGGAGGTACCCTGGGTGCTGGCACCCATCAGGCAGGGGTCACAGAGCTGGCTCAGTGTCAGTGAGGGGTTGCTCAGGGATCTTGCAGTGATTTGCTCGATTGGGACTTGGATTGGAGTCGGGAAGGGAATGGCTTTGTCCCCAGGTGGGGCAGACTCCACATGGAGACCACTGTACCAGGGAAGTGCCATGACCTGGCTGGATGGCTGTAGGGAACAAGACCTGGGCTTGGTTCCCCTCTGGGTGTGCATAGGATACTGAACCCTCTGCAATAGCCTCTCAGGCAACAGCCTTTCCCTGTTCTAGAAGCAGGGTTACTCACACTCCAACAGGCTCACCTGGCACCACTATTTTGGCACTGTCTCCAGAAATATGCCCTGGCCCTGTGCTACCATCTTCCTTCCCGTGGCAAAGACAAGCCAGACCTGGGTGACCAACCCACCAACTCCTTTATTGCTGGATGGTTGTCGGCCACAAACACCATCCCTACAGTAGGCTCATGGAATCCCCAAAGTCACAGGCTTTGTCCCAAAGAAAGGGGAGAGTTGGCAACACTTGGTACTGCTCTCTATCAATGGGATTCTACCACCTCGCCACCCAAGCCCCCTTCCAGGTGGGTTCCAACATCCAGTGGTTGCCCTGCGAATCCCCATGGCATCATCATCCACATTCCATGAGGCTGGATGAGGATGTTGAGGTGTGGGGGGTGCTGGGACCTGCTGGGAGCCACAAGGCCTGGGTTCCAGAAGGGCTCAGAGGGTGGTGGACGTGTTGCCAGAGGTGGAGGCATAGGAGGCACGGCCATAGCGGGCAACAGCATCCTTGCTGATCAGCCCACGCTGTGCCAGGATCTTGAGGAAGCTGTTGCGAAACTTCTGACCAATGAAAGCATAGATGATGGGGTTGATGCAGCTATGGGCGAAGCCTAGGACCTGTGTGACATAGAGGGCTGTGTCGATGTGGCTCCTTCTCTCGCAGGTCTCAGCGATGGCCCCTGTCCTCATGAGGGTGTCACTCACCAGCGTGATATTGTAGGGCAGCCAGCAGATGAGGAAGACTAGCACCACAGCGAAGATGACCTTCATGGCTCGCTGCTTCTGAGCATTCTTGGTCTGCAGGAGGGTGTGGATGGTGACACCATAGCAAAAGAGCATCACCAGGAGGGGCAAGGCGAAGCCAAAGGTCTGTGGCAGGATGCGCAGCACTACTCGCCACTTGGACGTGTTATGACCACTGATGCGCTCATAGCACACAGTGCCATTGTTAGGTGAGGGGAAAACCTCACGGAAGAGCAGCATGGGCAGGGAGAGCAGCACAGAGAAGATCCAGATGCCCAAGCAGACAAACTTCACCCAGTGCCTCTTCTCAGTGGCAGCCCGGGTGGCGTAGACGATGGCCAGATAGCGGTCCACGCTGATGCAGGCCAGCAGCAGGATACCGCTATAGAAGTTGGCTTCCTGCAGCACAGAGATTGCTTTGCACATCACAGTGCCAAAGACCCACCCACGGGCTCGGTAGGCAGCCCAGAGCGGCAGGCTGAAAGCAAAGAGCAGGTCTGCAATGGCCAGGTTGAGCAGGTAGACATCGGTGACAGAGCGGCTGGTGTGGCTGGAGGTCACCACTAGCACCACCAGCGCATTCCCCACCACGCTGAGGATGAAGACGAGGCAGTAGATCACCACCACCAGGTACTTGTTGAGGATGGAGCCATCGACCTCACACGGGGTGGCTGAGATAGCAATCTCGGGCATGGCCGTGCTGTAGTCATAGGTGTAGTTGTAAGCAGATAATAAGTTGGATAAATCCCCACTGAAGGACCAGGGCTCCATTTTGCCTGTGGAGCACAAAATGGCATGAGTGTGAAGTGGCAGAGTGGTGTGGGCCAGGGGTGACACTATCTCTGGGTCTCCTCCAGGTCCCCTCCCTGCCAATGGGCAGCTGTCCTCCATCACTCCACTACATCCACACGGTGCCATGTAATGGTCAGTGCTGCAGGTGGACACTTTTCCTCATACATCCCTTTGTAAAACACCCCCTTCATCCTCGGTCTCCTTCACTTTACCCCAACCCTGTCCCATCCCTGTCTCCTGTGGAGGAAGTGGTTCCACCACAGACTGACCACCTCTTCTTGGGTTGGAAGTCTCCCCCATCAATGCAGCATCACATCCCTCCAGAAGACGTTTGGCCCCTCCAGCAACCCTAGGCCCCCCTGGTTTGTGTGGGTCCTTCAAAACCTTCTGAGTTCTTTGGGCATATCAGAGTCCTTTGGGCATCTCCAAAGTTCTTTGAGTACCTTTGGATCACTCCAGCCTCTCCATCCCTTCAAGCATCGCTGCTGGAGCTGCCCCTCCTGCTACCTCAGCCACCAGTGAGGCTGTATTCACAGTGGCCATGGCAAGCAGCACTCAGGGAGGTCTGAAGGTGGTTTCATGCCCTTCTTCCCCCTCCCAGTCCTGTTCCTGAGCGAGTAGTTTCAAGCCCCGGACGGAAAGACGTGTCACCCTTTGCAGGCAGCTTTGGAAATATTTCATGTCTCTGGTTTTCCTGTTGCTCAGCTGGGCATTGCTGAGCATCTCCGTGTCCCCTGTGCTCAACCTCGATCACGGGTGGCAGCTGCTTTTCCTGTCTACTCACCTGTAGGACACCTTTCTCTGTTCCTGCCTCCCCAGTGACCATTGCCTTTCAGACTTCTCTCAGTATGGATCTGGACTCTTGTTTCACCCCTCTGCTCTATTTCTGAGCCTCCAGGCTCCTCCAGGGCTTGGTGATGCCAGGACTGCTTGGAGGTGCTGAGTCCCCTCAGTGCTGGGGGGTCCCTGGTCCTGAGCTGGCTCTGTTTGAACCCAAACCCTCCCTAGGACCAACTTTCCCCTTTTGCCCAGCAGGATTTCCCCATTGCATCTACGCTGGTGCCCTTGCCCAGAAAAATCACTCCCTGGCTCTGCTGTCCCCTCCTCTGGTGATCCTGAGATGGTAATCCTGGGGTGGTGATCCCAGATGGTGATGCTAGGATGCTGATGCCCCAGCATCCCAGAGGACAGCATCCAGGGATGCTGCCAGTGCCAATAGGGGAAGATCCTCTTGATGGAGCTGCTGCAGGCATGGGGCAGAGCCAGACACCAGTCCTTCCCCTCTGTCTATTTTGGTTGCTTCTTTCTGCCTCCCACTCCAAAATCCTCATGGTTCCTCCAGAACAGGGTATTCCCCCACCCATGGGTACCCCACAGCTGGCCTAGGGGAACAAGAAGCACCCCATTTCTCCTCCTGACCCTGGAAGGGTTGGGGGACACCGGGGTGGCCACGAGGGTCTCAGCAAGCAAGAAGAAGGGACACGCCGTGGGGAAGCACTCTCCTGGCTCATTGCTGTGTGAGGAAATGGGAGCAGGCACTTTCTCCCCCAGGGCTGATGTCCCTAGGGACCAAGGTGGGTTTGCACTACAGATGAGCTCCCAGCATTGCATTGGGTGCCCCCACCCACCATCTTCCACTCTTCCCACACCAGGAAGCCCCTCAGGCAGCTGGAGCAGCCCACTCTGGCCCCCAGCCTGCTCCACATATGAAGGGGCTCAGAAGGGTGCTGGGGGAGCTGTCAAAGCCCAAGGAAAGCCTGTATCTCCTGTGTAGTACCCCAGGGACTCACTGCTTGCTGCTGTCGCTGTCTCCTCAAATCTGGGGTCTTCTCTCAGTCCTAGGCTGATTCTCACTGGGAAGCACGTGGACACGGATTTCAGTCCAGGTGTCACCCCCTAAAGGGCTCTGGAATGAAGTGTGGTGGGATGCTGGGCAGCACCAGGCCTGGGGATCCCAACAGCCAGACGTTTCCTCACCTGCACCCGCTGCTGTGCTGCCTCCCAGTGCCCCTTTCCTCCACCACCCGCTTTATGCTGCCTGGGGAGGAAGCACGGTTGCAAAACCTTCTCGCAGCATGAAGGGGAAGTGGCAGCCAGAGGGACCCTTCTCCGGTCCCCCCAGGATGCCTTTCCCAGGCCAGGGGGAGCCTGCAGTCTCCCTTCACCCTCCTGTCCCAGGGTGACTCAGGCCAATGTGTTCTGGTGGTGCATCCAGAGGTGCATTGTCACCCCTGCAGTGATGCACCCTGGAGGTCTCCACCTGGAGGTCCCCACTTTGTCCCCAGGCCGCCAGTGTATGTGGGGCACCCCTTCAAGGCAGCTCTGGGTGTTGGAGCCCCCCCAGAAGAGTGGAAGCCCTCTAAGGCTATGGCCAGTGGGTGATGGCAGTGCAGGGCTCTGTGCCGCAGTTTTCCCATTGATAGAGCAGGGGTGACAGCAGCATTTTGGGGGGTGCACAGGGGCACTGTGGTGATAGCTTGCCCCCTGTTGGCAGTTGCTGTGGGGAAACGCCCTGGAGTAGAGCCTCATGTCGCTCTTGCCCTGGCTGTGCCAGACCAAGCTGAGCCAAATTGAGCCACGCCATTGGACAGAGCTGTGCCCCCATGCCAGCCCCACAGACTTGGGGAACCCCCTGGCTCCTCCATAACCCTGGGGCATGCTCACTCCTCTGAGTACCCCTATTCCCTTTAGGGGAAACCTGCACCCAGGGCAGACACCCCCATTCCTCTGGGGAACACACAAACCCTTGGAGCACCCCCACCCTCACAGATTTCTGTGCTTCTCAGTTTTAGGGGCGTCCCACACTTTTGGGGCACCTTTTGACCCTGGGGGCACCTGTAGAGTGGTAGAGTGCTATCATATCCCTTGAATGTTACCATGGAACCAAGGACATCCCTATTCCCTGGACACACCCCCAGCTCTAGGGCACCCTCACAGCCACCCTAGGGTGTCCCCATCCCCTGGGGGTCATGTCACACATTTTTGAGGCCCCGTAGCCTGAAATCATCCAGTTCACAACACACCGCTTTTCCCAGTGAGCATCCCCATATCCATGGAGCATCCAATTGTTACGCAGACCTTTGTAGTCTGGGGCACACCCACGACTGCCTGGTCCAACCCTATAATCCTGGGGGCACCCTACACTTTTGAGGACCTCCATACACCAGGAGCA